GGGAATCTCCACCCTCCTACCTGCCCCCACCCCTCACCTCTGTTCCTCATACTGTAACGTAAGTTATTTTACTTAATGTAGTGGGGGGGGGGCGGGAATATCCCCCTACTAAAGGCAGTTAGCCTAAGGTACTTTACTTAATGCAACCTTTATGGAATTTCTAGAAGTTGCTCAAAGACGAGTAGGTTGGGTGTAGATGCCACCTAGAGGGGCCAGATAAACCTGAGAGTGTGCTTATATTTACTTGTTAGGGATTAAAAGTTAGGTTCTACTATCCAAGTCAGTGGTTCTCAACTTGTAGGTTGCAATCCCTTTGGGGGTCGAACAACCCTTTCATAGGGGTTGCCCGATGTATAACAGTAGCAAAATTATAGTTATGAAGTAGCAACAAAAATAATTTTATGGTTGGCGGGGGGTCACCACAACATGAGGAACTGTATTAAAGGGTCACGGCATTAGGAAGGTTGAGAACCACTGATTTAGTTAGTAAACAAACACATCCCAAGACTACCCTATGACTTAGAGAAACGCATTGCTCCATTTGCTTGCATATGATCAGCAGTTGTTCCACAAGGTTACTCTGACACTTGAGTACATGGAAAACCTCTATTCATGACTCCCCCTTTGGGGGACGTCCCAAGTATATATTCTTTATGTAGTCTGATTTTGAACAAGAACCACAAAGATAGACTCTACTGCTGTTGGTCTCCTCACCGCTATTCATCTTCTAATTAAAAAGTTTATTTCTTCTTCTAACTGGGATTGAGTAAGTTGGCTGTGCTGCTCCAGGGTAAAATACCTGCATTTCAGGTGACAAGGCCTTCTATGAGGCTTGGAGATCTGCATCCAGTTGCAAAATGAACAGAGCCAAAGTTCTTGATTCTTAATCAATATGCAGGGGCCCTCACCACTGGCTGAGCAGAAGCCAGATAAGTCTGCTCCTGAGGAAAGACAGCCTTCCAAGCGCTCAGTCTCCTCCCTAGGTTCCTCTTTCAGTGTTTCCCCAGCTCCTTCTGTCCTTCTGGAATCTGAATACCTGAACAAAGTGAGGATGCCTAGGAGTTTCAATGCAGCAGAATGGTGGACATGCGTCGCTCAGCTCTGGCGTCATCACAGAGAGCTATAGACAGGGACAGAGGCTGCCGAATACAAGTGGGAACGTGTTCAACTTAACACGCAGCGATGTGGGACAGGAATGAAGAGGAGGGCATGGGTGCAAAGGCCATGCATTACCCAGACTTCTGTACTTTCCCAAGAAGCTCTGGTGATGTAGTGGCTTCCTCACTGGGTTGCCAGCCATAAGGGCAGCAATTCAAACCCATTCCATGGCCGACAGATGAGACTTTTTGGCTCCTGTAAAGATGTGCAGTCTTGGGTAGTCGCTGGGCAGTTCTGTTCTGTCCGCAGGGTCGCTGTGAGTCAGAGTGGACTCCATGGCAGTGGTCCTTGCACTTTCAGAGACAGAGTAGTCCAAAGTGGCCCCTATCAGACACTGAAAGGTGACCAAGTGAGCCATCCGGTAACTTCTGGGGTTGGGCCAGGGAGGAATAAGAAGAATGTAAGAAGCAGCTACTCTGTGCTCATAGGAAGCCCTGATGGCATAGTGGTTATTTGGTGGGCTGGGAGCCACAAAGTCAGCAGTCTGAAACCACCAGGAGCTCCTCTGGGGAAAGTCGGGGCTTTCTACCCCAGGAAACAGTTACAGTCTTGGAAACTCAGGGGGGCAGTTCCACCCTGTCCCAAAAGGCTGCTATGAGCCAGCAATGGACTGACAGTGCCTTAGAGGACCAAATGTGAACCAAAGCCCTACCCTGTGTCTGCATCTTGGCTAGTCTTCTCACCAGGCACAGGTCCTCCCTGGGATGAAGGCTGTTTGAAATGCTAATGGATGGGGGACAATAGAGGGAGGGCAAAGAAGGCAGCTGGTGAAACATTGAAAATGACCTCCCACGGGCACATAGTAGGCATGCATTGCACATTTGTCAAATGGGAATGAATGACTGTTCTGGCTGGGTGCATTTCTCATTATAAGTAATTGTTGAATTAATACTGACGTGGGAAGCTAGCGTAGAGAAAAAGTAGTGTGTGGAATTAAAGGTCAGAGAATGGGGTCTTCTTCCCAAGCACAGGCTCTGAGTTTCAAAAGAGCCAAGTTGGAGAGGAGGTGCATATAGCGGAGCAAAACCCAAGACTGATTCATCCTAAGGATCATAGGAGCCTCCTTTAGAAAGCTGGGTCAAGCTTCTGTGTAGGGAGAGGTGATGGAGAATAGCAGGGAGGAGACGGCCTCTGTGTAGTAATTGGGTCTTCTGTAGGAATTGCAAACAAAGGAATGTGGGGGACTGCCTGATTGAGTTGAGGGAGGAAAACTGAGGCCAAAGGGAGGGGGTTGAAGGTCTTAGAGAGCCCCCACTGCCATCTAGCTAATCCTGACTCCTGGTGAGCCTACAGCACAGGAAAGAATTGCCCTGTGGGTTTCTGAAATTGTAATTTTTCATGGGAGTAGAGAGCCTCATCCTTCTTCTGTGCAGCAGTTAGTGGTTTCGAATTGCTGACCCTGTGATTAGCAGATCAACAGGTAAAGCACGACACCACCGGGGTTGCTCTTTGAGCTAGCACTGGCTTGTTTTCTGGGTAGAAAACTATACCTGGCGTCCTGAAGGAATTGTCTTCCAGTAGACAGAAAAGGACTAGACAAAAGGACTCTCATGACCAGTGACTAGCAGGGTCTGGAACTAAGCAGATAGCTTTCCATAACACTCAAAAGAAAACTCTATTTCTAACTTGTACCAATGGATTTGGCTCCATTTGCCTGATATAAAGCAGGGTTAGGTGGAGGACAGGACTTTGACTATGTGCTTTAGGCAACAGTTGTAGGTCCCACATCCTAGGGTTTTGATCTTCAAATCCAAATTGCTCATGTCAGAGTTACCAAACCAGGGTGTGAACCTGGTGTGTTACCAAATGCAATGCCAACCATCAAAACATCATGTGTGGGCCGCATTTCTGCGAGATGAAGACCATTCTCAGCAACCAGACTGTCGACATTCCAGAGAAGGTGGACATTTCCCTGAAGGGGCACACGGTCATCGTGAAGTGCCCCAGAGGAACCCTGCGCAGGGACTTCAATCACATCAATGTAGAACTCAGCCTCCTCGGGAAGAAGAAGAAGAGGCTTCGAGTTGACAAATGGTGGGGAAATAGACAGGAGCTGGCTACTGTCCGCACTATCTGTAGTCACGTGCAGAACGTGATCAAGGGAGTGACGCTGGGTGTCCGATACAAGATGAGGTCTGTGTGTGCCCACTTCCCCATCAACGTGGTTATTCAGGAGAATGGGTCTCTTGTGGAAATCGCAATTTCTTGGGTGAAAAATACATCCGGAGGGCTCGCATGAGGACAGGTGTTGCCTGTTCCCCTTTTCAAGCCCAGAAAGATGAGTTAATTCTTGAAGGAAACGACATTGAGCTGGTATCAAATTCAGCTGCTTTAATTCAGCAAGCCACCACAGTTAAAAACAAGGATATCCGAGAGTTTTGGGATGGTCTCTATGTTTCTGAAAAAGAAATAGTTCAGCAGGCTGATGAGTAAGCTCTAGAGGTGTCCGGCTACAGTCCAGATGATTCCTTTAGACTTTCTGTGATGCTTTGATCCAATCCAATAAAGTTTATGTAATGAAAAAAAGAGTCATGTTTGGGGTCTTTAAAAGGCTATGTCTGGGGCCTTCTTAGCCCTCACAAGGGGGTGGCTCAAAGAGCTGAGGCTACAGCTACCTGA